AGCTTTTCACGCAATGTAGGCGGCTCACCCATCCTGGAAACCCCTCCCCTTGTTAAATTCCCCCCCCCCCTAACTCGCCAGGTGTTTTCTGCCTTCCTATGCTTTGACAGCCACTGTCCTCTAGCCTCTGCGCCACAGGGCTTTGCAACAGGAGCAGAATTTAAAGATGTCACGCAATCAATGAAGACGTAATCCCCACCAAACCTACACCTTCGTTGGGGGTATAAACAGAATCGCTGCTGTGCTCCTAATCCCCCCTCCCCAGGTTACGCTAATGCCGAATAAATCTAGGATCAGTGATCACATGGGCGTGCAATAACCGTCAGTTTGCAATTTGCGTCAGCGCTAGAAGGCAGCAGCGCAAAAGCGAGTTACAAGAGTGCCCACGCCGTCGCTCCTCTCTTTGGCCCAGCCAACTTCAGTGGTACGATCTACCCTTGCATGCATGTGAAGGCGAGCCATGGTAACGGGAGACCTGCCACAGAACGTGGGTAGGGGCATTTGTGTCAGTCCAAAATCAGCTCAAGGATCAGCCGAAAGTGAGATGGCAGCACTATTGTCCGGGAACCTCGTCCGATCACGCCGTCACTTCATCACACAAACTTTCTTAACACGGAGTCTTTTTTCTAGCATCTGATACGGTTCTTTTTCTGTTTTTCTAACTGCTGTGCACGTTGGAATACCTATTTCAACCCCTTTACCCGCGACTTCTGGCCGATGGCTTCGTCTTCAAGAGAGGAGTTGCGTGCTGGTGAGTCACCTCGTGCGTTCCAACATTTCACCAATAAAAGGTTCGCTGACCCCAGAGCCATGCTTTCTGAAATTAAGGAACAACTCTAGCGCCCGCGCAAAACTGATTGCTTCGATGCCTGCATTCCCACATGCACTCACCCGAGGCCACTTAGTCAATCTTTTTTAAATATTGCCGGGTAAACGGTACAGGACGTAACTCCCACAACGTGGCGTATTTTACGTTTGGTGTTATGTCGAATCAACTAGCTATGAGTACGATCCGGATCTTTTGAACTAGACCCAATACCCATATATCACATTATAAACAAACAGGAGAAAAAGCCAACCAACCTATTAAATGTTGCGAACGAGGCATGTTGAGATGGCTGAAGTGGCAGGCCTGCAGGTGGCGGCATTTGGGCGTTGTAATAAGGTCTAAGAGACGGTGGAGGTACTGCCGGATTCGCTCCACCAATGCTTGTACTTTGCGAGGAGACGACAGAACCAAAACCTGGTGGCGGTGCAAATGCTCCAGCACCAGACTGAATGCGGGAGGCATTCAGTGAACGGACGGCTGATGGTGACGATGGGTATGTGGACGACGCCTGTAACATATTTTTTTAGACACTAGTTTATACACCTAGATATCTAAAACAAATGATATACATTTAATCAAATCTGTTTACGCTCTTGCTACAATCCATACCGGAAGAGAGGAGAGGGCGTGGCAGCGTGCTTCACTTGAACTTGGCGCACCCCTGGTGAGATTTTGCTGATTCGGGACAGCAGTAAACATGTTCTTGCAAGCAGAGGACAGATGGTAGCTGTTCTCAACAGGAAGTTCTTCACGAAAAGCGCACCCTTCGCCTTCAAATGAAGTGCGCGGCCACGCCCACTCTAATACCGGGATATGGAGTATATCTTACCGAAAGCAGACCGCTAACTCTATCAAATAAAAAAACATAGGACACTTTTCAAAAAAGACTATAAAACACCATCACTGAGGAACGCCCTCGGGCTGCTCCCATACTTCGAATTTGGAGAATCACCCGCTAATACAGAACAGCCCATATAGGGGAATGACCAGGAAGTAAAATATAGGCATAAAATATAGGCAAAATATAGGCTTTCAACAATCCGTAGAATTCGGGAATCAAGATCTGATCTTATCGTATTAAAATCGACTGATGCCGATTCTCGCACTCTCTAGAGCACTGGGCTTATAAGAATACCGGCGGGCGGAGTCAATCGATTCTTATCTAATGTTTTGACGGGGATTATCCTGAATCATGAACTCTCCCGAATCAAGCATTCTTGAGATCAATATGTATATTTTCCTCATGGTGGATGCTCCTGAACCGTAGATTCTCCACATTCGCAAAATGTGAACGCAGCGTAATCTCCTAATTCTCCGAGAATCTTTCCAAAACTTGCGAGCGTCCCTAGACAACAAAATACATAGAAATCTGAGGGACTGAAAGAATGACTTACATGAGATATACTGAAGTCCCCATTCTGATGATGCGCAAATGAACTGTTCAGTAAGGAATTCAGTGATTCGTACTCGTTACTTGCAGCCTAAAAATCACATTGCATGTCATGACATTTGATGACGTCAGAACTAAAAATATCAACTTTCAATGAGGTAACACTTTCAGCGCACAACACCCAAGGCATTCAAACCACGATATTTTGCGCCAAGGGGCTGAATAACCCTGCAGGAGATCCCTCCCCTGGGCTTTGGCAAGATTCTTCATCCTCTTGCTCCCAGCCGTTTATCTCCGTTATAGGCCACATCCATAGTCTGCGGCAGAAAAATAGAAGAATCCGCGAAGACTTGATGATTTCGGAGAATGCTAGCCACGGAGGGTATCGGTATCTATCTGGCAACTTAGGAGATTAGGAGGGTCCGCGTATCGGCTATCCAGACGATGAACACCGAAAGAGTTTGTGGGATTTGACCGAAACCGGTCGTGCGCCTTCTGTCGATTTGCAGATGCTAGGACTAATTTCTTCTACTGGCTAGTTAGCGGCTGGACGATAAATTCCCATGATTTCAATTGCGCGTGCATAATTCCTAATTCTTTTAGGCACTATTCACAGTCTGCGAGCCAGCGTTTCTTTAGAAACGCTTCGGCGAAAAGCTTTCGACGTATCGATTGGCGGTTGGGCGAAGAGTCTGGCGGTTGCGCGAAACGGTTTTGATACGTATCGACGGGCGGTTCGGCGGAGCGGTTAGGCGAAAAACGCTAGCCCGACCGCTCTGCGGCTAATGCCGTTTGGACTCCAGAAATTTCGGCTGCGAGCTCATTTTAAAAGTGGCAAGATCACCAAATCCGCTAAAAACTTGTATATAGGGGTAATTCAACATCCTGATCACGAATATGACATTCATTTTTGGCGCTGGCGCTAATGGATGACACTACGGTTACCTGCGCTCTGCTAAGGCTGAGTCTCTTGGCGCCAGCGCCAAGAATGAGTGTCATACTCGTGATCAGGATGTTGAATTACCCCTATATACAAGTTTTTAGCGGATTTGGTGATCTTGCCACTTTTAAAATGAGCTCGCAGCCGAAATTTCTGGAGTCCAAATGGCATTAGCCCCGTTCTGCTGTTTTCCTCTAGGGCGGAGCCAGCGAAATCGATACGCATCTATTGCTTTTCGCCGAGCCGCCAAACCGCGGCGGCGTTTCTCCAGAGCGGTTGGCGATTCTCCGATCAATACGTGTTTATTGCTTTTCGCCGAGGGTCGCACACTGTAAACAATGCTTTACTCTTCCGAAACATGGAGAATGTGCTAATTACAGCGCTAAATACTCCAACATGGTGGGAAGTATATCACTGTAAAGCTCCAATAATGCTACCGCAAACTATTTACGAAATATGGAGCTTTGCATTAACCGTGGACTTATGTCTACAACTGCTTTGACTCTTATTTGCTTAAGAAACCAGACATGATGACATCAAAATCCAGCTAATCTCCACGTCACTGTCGTCACAGCTCTGCAGACATGTACTCAAGTATGACTCGAAATTAACTGAAAACTCGGCTTGGGAGGGACATACTGTTCTTTCGCTATCTTCTTTTGTTGGTTCCTGTTAACTTCCACGTCTCATCCTGATGGACCTGTACTCTTGTTAAAAAACAATGGAGCTCCTGCTATTGCGTAGCTCTGCTGTGACCGATGGAAACCCGGGAAATGCACCCTCAAGGCGAACTGCGAAGAGAACTTTTAGAAACACTCATCGCTCAACTCAGTTACAGCATGGATATTGAACTCGTTAACATGGGAAAACCCTCCAAACGGTGCTCAATACAGAAAAAATAAGTAGAAGTCGCGAAGTTATTATCTTGACTTTGAAAAAGACTAAACGAAACTTGAGGAATGAGTACGATTTCGACAAAATCGAGGTAATCTGGCGACAAGGGGGGGGGGGGGATGGGGTAATGTGTCCTTGTTGCCAGTTCCTATCGATAGGTCCAGAAATCTAACAGGTTTTAACATGAGGCTCAGCGAGCTTGCTCCAGCTTCACAAAAGTTCACACGTTTCATCAGAGTAAAACTTGTCAACCTAGTAAAACAGCGAAAGTGCAAAATATCCCCTCCCCGTCGTCAAACGGCGCCATCAGCTATGTATTATCAAACCACAACAAACAAGATAGCGGTGACAAAATGACATACCTGGTAGGGATTACTGTAAGCCGATTTCTGTGGAACCGATGAAGTAGCGCCTGCACCACTGCCAGTCGTCGGAGTAGACAAATGACCCATTCCAATGATAGCTGGGTCGGTATACGAGGGGGAGGGATAGTACGACTGGGCTGGCGGCACCGGTGTTGAAGCGACTCCTTGCTGCTGTATGAGCAGTTGAGCGGCCAGCTGAAAAATCATGGCTATTGAGTTCTGAAGCATTTTATTATGATAGCTACTGTTTGACGCCACATCCGCGCTTCAATAGTCAAGACAAGAACGCTGAGTTGTGGGCAAAAATCTTGATCCCTGACAGGACTCGATCCCGCACCTCATGTTTTTTGGACGAGTGCGCCATCCGTTGTGCCATCAAGGGCGCTCTCACCTTTTCGTGAGTTCATTAACAGCTACGAAAATCTGAGAAAAAACCCTTACCTGATTGAATAGCATATTATTTTCCGGTTGACTTGAGCTAGAATTGTATTGGCGGGGTACAGTGGACGAGGTGGACGACGAGCTGCTCAATGGATGCGAAGGAACGGAAGGTACGGTAGGAATACGTGCCTGAAACGGCTGTTGGATTTATTATCCTCTGCATAGCTATGTTTTTTTAGGCTGCATCCATACTTCGCGACTCGAGCGATTCACTCGCGCGATTTGCAACAGCGATTGAACGCGCACCACCTTTAATCGTTGAACCATGCAAACTCGATCACATTCACTAGGGAACCTCCTTTGATTACTGCAGCGGAACAGCGCGACTTAAACACTCGAGTAGCGAAGTATAAAAGAGGCTTTTGAAAAACCGTAGGCGATGTTCGGCTTGATGAGGGCATTTTGCGCTTTCGCTAACTCTTTTGCTAGTACATGTTGATCAAATGTGAGGACGTGAAAACCTTTGCTGCGGAGTGGAGCAAAACAGCCACTTCAGGTACAGAAGTTGCCCTCTCGTCGCCGGCCTCCCTCTCTAGCTCCGGCTAAACAGCCGTTATCACTAATGACTGTTAGCGAAGGGGGGGGGGCATTTTGTACTAACATTGCTTCCCTAGTTCCGGTTTACGAATCTCACCATGGTAAAACTTGTGAACGCCTGTGAAGCTGGAGTAAGATCGTCTAGCCACCATCCTAAAACGTGTCAACTCGAGAAAAGGCTACCTAGATGGGTCGGCACATCTATGAAAAGCCGAATGCCCCCCGTCGACAAACTGCGCCGTTTACAGGTATTAGCAAGTCTGCTTGCACAGGCTTCACCAAGAATCATTTAGTGCACCCATTAAGCCGAACTGCGCCGCAACGATTGCAAGAGCGCCCGCGTCATGTTCATTCCCCATAGGGGAAACAAACTGATAAGTTCCCTCGATTTAGTAAATTTACCTGTGGTCTTGCATATAAAGGCATCGACTTCGTTGAAGAAACAGGCCAGTCGCTGCTTGATGAGCTCGTCGCAAATGTCGTTCCGGTTTGATGAGCGGAGGTGTTTTGATGGTTTGAGGAGACACTTGTTACCTTGGATGGAGTTGAACTCATGAAGAGGTTGTCATGTGAGGGAGTGGCCCAATCAGTTGACTGCAAAATTAATAAATATGCACTTAATCATGACATTCACCGATAAAACTGGGCAAAATAAATTTCTCACCGAGCTTCGGATGTTAAGATTAGCAAAGTTGTTCAGCAGCACTTGATTACCCCAAGCTTGTTCCTGAGAGGACTGGTCCTGCTTGTTCCCTGTTCCCCAAATCTGAAATACAACAGAAATACCTCCGAAAATCTCACAGCCAGCTATAATGCCACTGAAACCTTACATACCTCAGCAAGTTTAGCGCGAGTGGTTTCATCCAAGAATTGCATGGATGAGAGGTCATTTCCAGTACCTGTAGGAGTAGTGAGAGAATCCGTATTGGAAAGCTTTCCTACGACAGAAACAGTTGATGTGGCGATATCATTCAATGGGGACGTAATTACGTCGACTGCAGGCGGTTCCACAGATGGCGTCGACAGTGGACTTACTGTAGCTTTGATAGATGTGGCTGAAAGAAACATCCGGTAAAGTCTGACCCAGCGAAAGATCTCACAAGGGAAATAACCTTCCATAGCTGGCTCCGCAAAAAAAGCGCTGTCAGTCTTAGGAGGGGCATTTTGGACTTTCGCTAGTTCCTTTTTTCTAGTTTATGTTAGCTAACAGATCTCATTTTGGTAAAACCTGTAAACTATTGTAAGGCTTCGGAATGACACCAGTGAGCGATTACAATCGTACAAGAGTTTATAGGTTCATATAAGATGGCCTGTACAGGTTTTGATAATGAGTAGCATTCGTTGCCCCCCCAAGCGGAACTGCCCCATAAAAAATAGCAAGGATAAGTACAAAACTGCTGAGCAAGAAATAACTAGCCGATTCTATTCTGGTTGCGAAGCCAAGATGTATGACCGCTATCAGAGCGCGTTCATACTTGGCGATCGCTGGAGTGATTGGGTCCACATCAAAGGCGCAGGCGCTCCACCGCCAATCGATTTACCCCCGCAACGACAGAATTTCGTTGAGTCTGGTTCGTGCATGAAGGCTGCCGCAATGAATTCTGTCTTTGCGGAGGTCCACCAACAGGTGGTGGAGCGCCTCGGTCATGATCGCGTGAACCAGTCGCTCGAGCGATCCGATCGCGCGATCGATGGGGTCGCGAACTATGAACACGCTCTCCGTCGCAACTCAGGCTGAAAGTGGCAGCTGGTATCTTATCACTTGACCTAACCCTTTGGAGACTCATTCCCCTACTGAAAATTGTTAGCGGGCTCAAATCAGAGTTCCTAGGCGTTACCAATACAGAAAAAAAAACAGAAAATCCCGGAGATACTGTCTGTAGGTCGCGGTTGCTTTCCAACACTGAGCGAGTATGCAGTAAATTGAGACGCAGAGACGCCTGACAAGAGATCTGAGTGCCGAAGTCGAGACTCACAAAACCGCATACGCACAGAAAATCGTGCGCAGCGCTCTGCAGTAATCGCACTTTCGTCGACGCTTGTTCTCGGGATGAGCGGGGTTCCTGGTAATCATGAACTACTAGTGATCGCATTTTCGAGCGTCGTGAGCAGCCTATCTTATGGGGCTGCAGACCTAGGCACTTGTACAAGGGAAGGATCCGCCTATCAGGTAATCGCGGAACATGTCTTCTTTCAGAGTGGATGCTCTATATCGCTAGTTGACGATCACAAAAGAAAACGAAACCTACATTTCGAGACTTCAGAAGCAAGCGAAGTGAATCCTGGTGGAGGAGCTATTGGAACTGGAGGTGAATTCATCTTACAACGTGTCGATGAGTCGGACCCTATAGGTGCAGGCGGAGGCGTGGACGATACTGATGATGCAACCGACGAGATGATAGCTGGTTCAACCGGCACAGATGAACCTACAAAAGGAAAACATTCCTACATCTCTATAAGAGCGAGAGAATCAAATGCTTATTAAAAAGACTCATACTCACTGGAGGTCTGAGTACTAGGCGATCTGTATCCTGGTGCTTTCCTGGGCAGCTCTTTATCGAAAGAAATCGATGAGCTCGGTGGACCTATCGGAGCCGGGACGGCTGTGCTAGCAGATGGACCTTCTGACTTGAGGAAGGGAGCAGCGGACCCTGTAGAAAACGATGAGTTTTTCGCAGATGCAGGCACTGTGCAGAAGAGTGACGAACTTCTCAACAGTGACGGCGTTGTTGTGGTGACCGTAGAAGCTGTAGAGAAGCTATCCGTCGAACTGTTCGGTAGCGAGTTTTCCTTTGTGGTGTTGCTAGCTGAAAGAAAAATTCACTAGGACAGTCTTTTGAGGAGAGCGAAAATAAGGCACCAGAAGGCTTCCAAAACAGGGAATACTCATAAAACGTACAACTCATCGCTAGTTGCTGCTGTTGTTCACGTTGACGTGCAGCCATTCTTTGTTGCCAGACATTAGTGGTCACCGGTGCCATTGTGGATGGTTTTGAGGTAGAGGAACTTGCTGAGGACACGGTTGTGGTTGCCATTGCTGTCATTTTACTATCGTGTGGATTACTTAAACGCGAACCGTCTGATGACGTCGTTGACGAGGCGTTTCCACGAAGAACCTGAATCGACGCTACACTAAAGGAATCTAGTGTTAATGGGAAAGGACCTAAAGACACATTATATGATCGCCAGAGAGGAGAATAATTTTCGTGTGCAATGCGGGCAGATCCGCAGTTGCGCAAATTTGCCACTTGCACAGGGAGACGGAAAAGACAATCGCAAGTTATTGCGTTACGCAGCGTGGCGTATTATGCAGCAAAGCGCGACAAATTCTTAATGTGCACTGATTGTCAATTGGAGCAGTGAAACTCATATGAATCCAAGACAACACTTCATGTGGACATTAACGGATTTTTTCCGCTCTTTCGACACTCCAATTCAAACGACACTGGACAAATCGTCCGTCTAAGGCGACGGCGCTCGTCACGCAGGGTACAGCATCGTGGTGTGAAACACATGGGGGGGGGGTACTTGGCCACTGGGAAGGGGGTTGTATTCGGTCGCTGTTGGGAGAGGGGGAGGTCGTATGTGCCTTTGAGAGAAATCTGCCGTATTAGGAAAAAAATTTACCTGTTTGTTTACTTTTCGCGGTTTATCCCGTTTCAAATTGGCCTTGAAAAAACTGGTAGGAAGCTGTGAACTTGTAGGAGAGTGGTAGGTGGGTGTTGGGGTGTTGGGAAGGGGGGGGAGTCGTACTTACACCACCATTTCACACATCACGATGCTGTACCCTGCGCCATGATCATCAGCGCGGCGTATTACGACTGTCTTGTATATCTACCTGCACCCCTCCAGGGTGCGTAGCAGGGAAGTTTGAAGCTTATCATTGCATGATGGCTCTGAAGCCTCATTTCCCCCCCCCCTCATTCGATACACCATTCGGCCATGTCGTACGCGCTACTTGCCTGCGTACTCCGACCTAGATAGTGTACGATGGGTACGCCTAGAGCAAGCGAGGGCTCCTTCGAGTTCTCATAACCTTCCTCAGGGATCATCTGAAAGGAAACCTTCCCAGTTAGACCCACACAACACTATCAAGGTGAGAGAGTGCAGGTCGTCTCGCGTGTGACATGGACGTGCTGCGCATAGAATGGTGGTGGGGTGGAGACTTCAGTGCCATCAAGCAATTAGAAGCCGTCAGCTTCCTTGCTACACATCCCCAAGTGGCGAAGCGATATGCTTCTGTGTCTGCGAACCTGCCCACCCTGCACACGGAAGATCTACCATTCCATTGGTGATGGTAAAATGTGTCTTTGAGCAAAACCAAGCCATATGCATTAATTTTCAGAACAATGGTTAGCGTAGGTCGGCCTGGTGGGGGGCAACAAATTATGCTTAGCGAGGCTCTTACAAACCACTTTGTCAAGAGTTGTAAACTCTTATGGCCGGAGTGGTTCACGTATACCATTTCGCAGCTCCTAACAATATACACGTTCCACCAATGACACCTGTAAATCAGCATGGACTAGCAGAAAAAACTGGTGGAAAGTGTAAGATACCCCCACCAAGCCGAACGGCGCCCAGTAATTATTACATTAACATTAATTTCAGGGAGCATAAAGGACAAAATGTTGATGTTGAGAGTCTGGCACGAAAACAAAATCTCTAGAAAAGTTGCAGCAGCAGCAGCAAAAGGAAGGGCTAACAAAAGCTATAGGTCAATAAAAATCAGGGAAGCATAAAGAGCATAACAAATTGATGTGAATTCAATTCGAGAACAAAAGAACTTCTAGGAGCCAGAAATCTCACAAAACCAACTTGTCTAATGACGTCGTTTACTGAAATTTCATTGTCCGTTATAAGACCATTGATCATCAGCGTTGCATTTCTGAAAACAACATTCCATTAAACAAAATCAATGTTGCACTTCATTCATCAAGATTAGCAAGGTTGCATGACATCCTGACAGTTCGAAAGAGGGGGGGGAGTAAAAATTAGGATGCCAGAAATGTAAAATCGACTGTAATGTTTCAAACACAATAACTACACAAAACATAGGTGCCAACGTAGCTTGGAGGAGCGGCAGCATGAGGGGCTAGACGTGCAGACTCTAATCGTCTGATACCCTGGAGAAGAGAAGGGAGGTAGGCGCTGCGTGCGTCAGACTGCTAGCGAATCTCGTCCCAAGGTGGGCGAGTCTACTTATATCTGTGACGGTTCTTCGGCTAATGATGGCCGCCTTCGTCAGTCACTGCTTAGCTGTGTGTATACGGAGAAACTCTCCGAAACTGCAGGTAGCGTACCGCAAAAGGACGAGGTTCTACTCATCGGGTAATCATGTAGCGTGTCTCTAAGCACTGACCCTTTTAGCAGTTGTTGGCGAAGGGGTGTCCGAGAAAAGGGAGACTCTTCTAAACAACAGAAAAAAAAGTAGTGGAGCCTCGCCTAAATGTGCATGGAATGTTAATTTCGGCTAACACAAAACAAATTCTGGTATTGCGCCGCTCTGAAACATTTACGGCTCGAACAACAAAATGGGGTTCCAAAATTTATTCCAAAAGCTCAAAAGACGCATAAGACTCGAGAAGCTTGGCGAAAATTACAGGCAACTGTAATGTGTTTTCAGGTTTTTTGAGTCTTCTGAGCTTTCTAGAATGGGATTTCGTCGCCTCATGAGCTCAGTTACACTGCAGAAACCAAAGGGATGCCCCCCACACCTAAAATCCCAGGTCGCAGTGACGAAACCATACGATTGGACAACCTTTTCCAAAGCAGATTTGCTTTCAAAATCTGCTGATCTATGTTCTGAGTGGAATCAGGATTTTCTCTTCATGACTGCTGGTGAAGGCACTGCCGCAATTCTTGGGCCAAGACCACAAATTTGGCTAAAACATGAGGCGCAAGGATAGTTTGACCCTCTGAATAAGGTTAGGACAACATTTCGGTTCCAAAGCACTTAGGAGATGCGTCAGTGCCCCATCTATCCAAGCCTGAGTAGGAGAACACGGAAAAATCCCTCCCCATCTCGTTCAGAGAACAGCTGGGCAGATTTCGGAAGGAATTTTGTGAGCTCCGGAAGAAAGCGTGATCAGCAGCATGGATTTCAACACAAAGTTCCAGGCCTTTGGAGGCGTCGTAGTATAATTTAAAGCTCGTTCATTCCTTCTTGAACCTCGTATTCAAATCAGGGCATGGAATACGTTAGGGTTGCCCAGTAAGGGGGGGGGGGCATCGTGCTTGCTTTTGAGAAACATTTTTAAAAAATATTTCGATTGTTCGTTTTTCCCGATTTTCCCTTGTTGTTATACACCCTCCCCCCAACCCCGCTCCGTCCTTCCGTTCGACAGCAGTTTCCGGGAAGAAAGGATCAATCCTGTCCGGAGGCTGGAAAACTGGTGCGAAGCCGGGACAATTCAGGAAGATGACAGGATGGAATGGGGAAGGCGGGGTCGTAGCAAAGGAAGAAGTCTGAGGAGGGGTCTTACTTCGCAAAAACTGTCCTCAACGGCGCTCCCTGATTCAAATTCGAGTGATGGGTCATTGGTCAATTTTGCAACTTTCTGTACAAACCACCATGAAATATTGAAAATCGACGAGAACAGATGATCTCACGAATCAAGCGTTTATCATTGAGCACTCGGCTGCGGACATTAGGATTTCAATAATAGGACAAATTAGCGCGATGCCGTTATCGATCTAGTCCTAACGCGCACTACGGCAAGGCTACGAAAGGGCAGAGCCGAGCAAATCAAGCGTCAAAAACTAACAGGATTTTCATATATCCAATCCCCCCCCCCGGAGTCACTGCCATAAAGTTAAACTGCCCACTCGCAACATTAGCTGGCATATTCGATAAAAAATCAATTTTGAAGGATAAGTGCGGCACCCAGTTGAGCTCTAACTTGTATGGCAGTGAGCTCCAGCTTCATGTAGGACGTAGAACGAACACCTGGCTTTCAATAAGAATAAAAATAGCCACATAAGAGCGTAGTGTGAAGCTAAAATGAATGGAACAGCTGTATATGGCTAGTGGTTGCACGACGGCGACGACGACAGCAGCAGTCGATGCGATAGCGACTAGCTGGCTACATGGTACTCGGGGAGAATATCTTGCGGGCCCGCTGGCTCGCCTAACTAGGAGCCCGTTCACAAGCTGCCGCACGAGGCTGGCTACTCATCGATTCACGCAAATGCCTACTCTCTCCACACACACAAACCCTCGCTTTATAACTCGCTCAACTGTCACGTGAGACTGCCGCCCCGACGACGGCTCAAGCACTTGTCGTCATGCTCCATGTGAAATCTGAAGTTCAAAAATGAGCTCTTAATTTGAGAGAGATAGAATGAGGGAAAAATAGCAGCCTACTCGTTCTGGATTGGGGGAGAGGGAGGGGACCTCTTTGCATTTTCGCTTATTTCTTTCGCCAGTTCGTGTTCACTAACAGGGAAACAATTGTGACGGTGTTTAACTTGGGAGGGGCTTTTTGCTTTCTCGCTTTCTTCAGCCAGCTCATGTCGGCTAGGGGGTTAACACTTGCCAATCTACGAAATCGTACAGTCGAGCCAGTATGGTTACAAGAACTTACAGGACTTTATGAGGTAGCCTGTGCAGGCTTTTCTGAGGACCATTTCGTGCCCCCACCCTCCCAATGGCACCCACCAAGCCGAACTGTGCTCAAACAACTTCAGGGTGAAAACTGGGAACATATCATCCCAAACTTTGAAGCTTTGCAGTTTCTAGTAGGAAAAACACCTTACTACCCCAACTTAATTTTTATTTTTCTAGTTTTATTTCATATTTTTATCTCTGAATATATTTTTATAACAAGTTAAACGTCGACGACGTGCTTTGAGGAAACTGGCACTATTTACCCTTCGGAATCCCATAGATTTTGGGCGCTCTTCGGCTTGGGAGGTGCATTTTGCGCATCTGTTTGTTCCTTTCGCCAGCTCATGTAGACCAACAGGGAAACTCTTGTGAAGCTGTGAAAAGGTACAAGCGAGCCGTTGTGGTTACAAGAATCCGCAAGGTTTCGCAAGGTTGCCTCCACAAGATCGCTGGGTGCCATTTCGTGCCCCAGAAGCCTGGCTGTGCTCCAATAGCTCCAGAGTTAAAATTTTTCCTGCTGTTTCTCTATAACATACATTAATGTACATAGGAAAAACTAGCACTATTCTCCTTCTCTACCCTTCATTTGAGAATCTCAGCATTTGGTGTGAACTTCCCCCGGAGTAGATCTGGACAATATTTGGATCCTGAGGGTAGTTTACCTCTGAACATGAAGATGCATCCTCTTGATACGGGACCGTCTGATAGTCGCGCCATATATGCCGGCGCCACGGGCAACTTTTGAAGTTGAAGCCCATGGCGCATGTATCATACGTTTTCGCACCTAAGCATGTGATATTTGAGCTAATTTGGGCGAACCGTTCCGGTGTATGAGCCCCTTGCAATGAGTTGAAGCATTTTGGGGCTGGAACCAGGAGTTCGTTTTCATTTCAAGCGGAGATGACAGCTCTGAATTGGGTCAAACTACCACCAGAGTCACATCTAACCAGGAAAGGTCAACAGGTCGCCATGGCCATTCAAGATGAGATGCATATTGCCGTGTGCGTCTTGGGGCACTGGACTCAAATCTGGTTTCAGAATTTGCTGAACGATCCTCTAGGAGGAGTTAGGGGGGGGTCGTTCTAGCATAGCACTCGCCGATCCTCCTTTGCGTAGCTCAAGTTAAGTTCGAATACATACAGTCCCAACTGGTCGATGGTTTAGTGGATAGGTGGGTTGCTTCATATATGAGAGGTCATGGGTTCGGTTCCTTGACAAGTTCGCGTTTTTGCATTCTTTCGGAACATCTTCTGCGAGTTCAGAGAATACTTCTTTCCGTTATTTTGTCATGCTTGCTCTTGCTTGCAGTAGAAAAAGACTTAAGTGCCGGCAATTGTGCTTCCCTTTCAAGACTTTTGGGCAGTGTTTACCGTTTACTGGCAGAATTGGCTAAAAGTTCCCCTATGGTCGTCTGCCCTTCTGATCATAATTACCACATCCGCTCAGCACGAAACATCCGTGCCACAGGCGCCAGCGCCAAAATACCCTAAATCACAAAGTTCGCTGGAAACTTGTCAACTGGGGTAGTTTGACCTCCTGTACACAAATATCTCATCCAAACTTTCTGAAACGCCTGACGCGTACGCCACAAGCGACCCATCACATGCTTGTTCCTAGTCCGGGGGTGTAGCACAGACTCCGGTCGCTTTATTGCGGGGCTCTGTGCTAGGGCAATTGGGCAAACTGGTCGAAGTAACGCACTACTCTTCCTAGTTGCCTGTCACAGAGATCCTTCTCTTGCTAAGGCTCAGCCATAGCAGAGGAAGGGCCTCATGAGGAGGGGTGCGGACGCAGGTTGCGCAATTACATTACCGCTTTTTCTTTATCCCAAACATTCTCAACGCCCCACGCGGATGTGATGCTCGTGTTTAGAAGGTCAAACTGCTCCAGTTGAAAAGTTTAGTGATTATGGTGGTTCGAGTATTGGCGCCGGCGCCAGGCATTTCCGGGCTCAGCTAATGGGATTTCTGTGTCCAGGAGGTCAAACTACCCCAGATGACAAGTTTCCAGCGAACTTTGTGATTTAGGGTATTTTGACACTGACGCCTGTGGCACGGATGTTTCGTGCCGAGCGGTTGTGATAATCATGTTCAGTAGTGCAGACTACCCTAGTAGGCAACTTTTCAGCCAATTCTGCTCACGGAGAAAAAAGTCGGTCAAAAACTGGCCTGATTTCGGGTGATTTGGGCAGTAAAGGGTAAATACTGCCCAAAAGTCTTGAAAGGGACGCACTGCAAGCAAGAGCAAGCATGACAAAATAACGGAAAGAAGTATTTTCTGAACTCGCAGAAGATGTTCCGAAAAATGCAAAAACGCGAACTTGTCAAGGAACCGAACCCATGACCTCCCATATATGAAGCAACCCACCTATCCACTAAACCATCGACCAGTTGGGACTGTATGTATTCGAACTTAACTTGAGCTACGCAAAGGAGGATCGGCGAGTGCTATGCTAGAACGACCCCCCCCCTAACTCCTCCTAGAGGATCGTTCAGCAAATTCTGAAACCAGATTTGAGTCCAGTGCCCCAAGACGCACACGGCAATATGCATCTCATCCTGAATGGCCATGGCGACCTGTTGACCTTTCCTGGTAGTTCCTCCCAGAAAAAAAATACGGAAATCCGGCTCCATTTCTGAAAGGTCTAAAAAGATGAGTAGAAGAGGATGAAGGAACCTGAAGGACCTCACAGGGCAAGAAGGCAGATGCGACTGAAACTGAACCCCTTACATCGACACTGCCTCTAATTACCTTAAAAAGCCCCATTCTTCCGAAATTGGTTCCGCAGTGACCTTAGTGGTGTCGAATTCGTTAGGATTTCATCTAAGTAGGTAGTTTGACCCGTGAGCAAGAACACCAAATTTGTTTAACGTGAAAACGCTCAACGTCAGCACTGACTCCAGAATTTCAAAGTAAACCTGTCTGCTCTCGGGGGAGTATCAGTTCTCTTTTGGATTTAAGGCAGTTGGCACGATAAATCCCCCAAGACGACTAGGATCAATACTCCTGGCAGGATAGAATTCCGACCCTGGGCAGGCGCTGCATAGCGGTTTCCCCGAGGAAGGTGCCCTTATAAGGGCCCTATCAAGCCACAACATTCCGACCCAAACGCCGCCACGCCCGCCCGCCCACAAATGGACGACCGTTCCTGACGCTCTAATCGATTCATTTGCTAAGCAAATTATGAAGCGAAGGGATTGGTATGAAGCGGCCGTGATGCTGCATGGATATATGAGTACATATGCAGCCGTACCTTCGGTAGCGGTTATTGGCAAGATGCCTACAGGAAACTCGTCCAAAATTGATTTCTAACACATTGAGAACGGAGGCTCTTTCTTCGCAGGATTTTGACCGTTTCACTCCGTTCTTTCGCCATTTCCCCCACTATATAGCGCCCTACTAGCATTTTAGGCCGAGCACCAAATCATCGTGCCAACTGCCTTCAATTGGAATGTTCACGCTCTGAAGGTCAAATAGGTTTCCACGCTTATCACCTTGTCATCGCTCATCACTCTTTGGGAAATAGCAAAGTCACGACTCTCTGGACATTTTGCGCTGATCGCATGGGCGAACCCACTCGGACAAGCGCGTTCTCATTCATGGACCACTAGTCCAAGATATCAGAGAGGCTGAGCGAGCCAATGAGAAAAGCGCAATGATCCAAGTAACTACGCCTATACAACTTGCGCAAAATACGTCTTCTACTTCTGCGAGGCTACTCTGATAGGAAACTTGATGGAATTACTGATCTTTAAAGCAAATTCATTGATGATATCATATGATAACTCACCGCACAGTTTCCTGTGTTCCACGAATACAGATTTGTCGATCGTGTTGGTCACGTCGAACAGCTGATTGTTTTCGTGGCCACTTTTCAATTGATGCACCAGTTGCTTCACGAATTGCGTTGATATTCGCACCACCACGACCTATCACTCTTGCAATAACTGTGCTGCACACACTGAGTGTTGTTGATCGTCGACGTGACTGAAACTATCATATAACCAAATTTATAACAAGTCAGTAATATGCGAAGAAAACGCTATCTAGAAATCCAGAACTACTACGCAAATCTGACCGTAGTCATCTAGTTTTAATCAAGAAATGCTAAAAACAATAATGTAGCAAAAGTGGACAGCTGGACATGATGCGAGTTCCTGCTTCTCCTTCATTGAAATAATACCTGCGGAAGCAAGAACGGTATGCATGGCTGGGCGTTGCCTACCAACTATTCTCTGGTCCTTCGGCAGCGTTCAAAACTTGCATGCACGCGCCGTCGACGTGGCTGCCCTGCCTAGCGCTCTAACGCTATCTAGGGTAGAGAACGTAATATGTAGAGCGTTATCATTTGGCACAGGCGCCAGTACGGACTCTCCCACAACGCTTGATGGGGCCGATCAATGACGTCTATAGAGGTTTTCAATCCTATAGCACCAGAGCATTACTGCAACGACAGCGCGTCGTAGAACCGATGAACGCCGACGGGGTTCGTCATGGCTCCGTCTGAACGCTACCTTAACCTAGGCGCCATCACCGCAAAGCGATCAGACAAACGATAGGGATGATATCTAGAACGAGGAGAACTAGCTGGAGATTATCGCGTTTCTGGGCCTGCCTAACTCATCCAGGGGGGGGGGGGGGGGGGGGCTGTCCTTCTCCTGCAAACGCTAACCTGCTAATTGTTTGTTCAGTAAAGAAAAACAGGTAACTTGTCCTTCGCAGAAGGCAGGACATGAGGGAAACTAAGCATAGTACTGACAAACTCTCCTCCCATGATTCCTGCGCTCCATCCACGCCAAATGTTTGAGTTGCTCGCCTAGGAGTTGCACTCGTGTTATGAAATCCATCTCATCCCGTTTACCTGCTTCGCTAGCGCCTCCTGTTGCATTCAAGCGTGCCATTGTAATCTTGAAGAGCTGTACTTCCTTAGAGCGTTATTTCAACGGTATTAAGGAACCCCACAAAAGCACACCCCGCGTGCATCTGATGCGAAGCAGCGTGCGGAACGCCTCTTGCCCCACAAAGTAATCTTTTCTGAAGCATGACTTTCGCAGCTATAAAGTACCTGCAGAAAGCGTAAGCGTAAAAATACGCCTATGAAGCCATGGCTCCGCCCATTGACCATAGCAACGCCCAACATTCATTTTTGACTGCTACCTGATGGTGCGGTTGTTCCGCTATCAACTCTCTAGTGAGGTTGTAAGGAGAAAGTGCTGGCACGAACTAGTGAGAATTCGTCCGACTGTGCCCCTTCTTCGCCTCATGCACGTACAGGTACGCTTCAGCACGGTTCTATATGAGGCATTTCGGGCAGTTTTTTCTGCTCCTTTTTCTTTATTTCTGTGTTACTTACCATTTTGTTACCAGTGTTTGAGCCGCAAAGCACACCAGATTTAGGACCGTGACGGGCCTCACTGCTTCAGAATTACGTTTGTAAATGCCGACATCACTTTCTCAACAACCCCAAACAATGAATTGCTACTTTTGTCAATAATGAACTGGTAACAAGAATGCTTAAACTTTTTGCCATGATCCTGCGGGGGGTCAGAGGGATAAGTGCAGACCGCTACCAACACACCGACCGCAGAACGGTGTATTCATAACAGGGCGCAGACGAGAGGAAAAATTGATGTCGTAAGAGACAGTAGTCGAGATCAAAGGTTGGGAGGAACCGAAACCGGGGACAACGAAAAGGACGAGGTTGGGGCAGCTTTAATAGCGGAAAGGACATTGGGAATAACACCCTCACAGCCGCATATTAGCCCCTGGATTTCTAGATGCGATTCATCGAGAAGACTCTCAAGCAGCCTACCAACTCCACATCCTTCCAACCACTATAGCTGTCGTCCATGTAAAAATCTTTCCCTACAGTACAGGTCACTGTACTGCTAGCACTTTTTGGCTTGTTTGACTGTAATTATCGTGGTTAGCAGGATGGCTACAGCGCAACTCATGCATAAAAACTAAACTTGGACTGGAACAAATACTCACAGGCTTTGTCTTCTTGCTCGCCTTGACCCATTCGTCTGTGGGTGGAGTAGGCTTCGAAACGAAAGCCGCAGACGGCGCGACTTTGGAGACGCTACTGTTCGACTGGTTGGCCAGCTGCCCATTCGTACCTTCAAAAAGTTAAGGATAATGTGAATATGCATCAGAAACAACTACCCAAAAAGCCGAGGATTTTGAGAGCTAGGAGTAAGCTAAAAAGAAAGGATGGGTGTAAATTTTGGCCTTGAAGGCAACGAACACGACTGCTGCAGGCGGGCGAACGTGGCCAGCGTCATTGGTGGAACGGCTGCGACGGGGCTTTAGACCCACCCCACTCAACCCTTACAGCGATGGCGTTAGGGACAACCGCCAGCCTCCAGCAATCCTGCGCACTGTCTTCAAATATTGCCTACGTCCTGTATCCCATCTAATTTCCCCTATCACCTGTCATCCTGGTGAGTTAGGTTACCAATTGTATACCAAACAATTGGCAACTTAACTCCCACTGAAAGGCAGGACACGAACTGAGCAAAATCTCCTAAAACTTCTCTTTATAGGCCCGTCCACCTGGCATCAGAGCTGCGCGTTTCCCGATTTGAAATAATAAAACGCGTGTAAACTCACTTTTACCGCTTTCGTTGCGGCTACGACGATTCGCTGAACGTTTTTGCTGCCGGCTCACTGGAGGATTCGCTCGTTCTGGAGCAGAAGCGACAACCACTGGCTCTTCTACCGTTCGCATTTTAGGAACGCGATCGTTCGCCTGAATACAGACAAATAATCGAGGTACTGCCATAGAAATCTCAAATATTTCCCTACCATTGGATCAACTGGCACAGATGACCTCTCCTTCTTCACAGCCAGGGAATCTGATTCGTCGTCTGAGTAATCCTGAAAAGACTGACTGAGTTGGGGAACGAAAATATTCCCTATAAATACAGCTTAATATTCACATGGAGAACACCACCATGAAATCAAACAAACCAGAAATTAAAGGTCTTTTGGGCAAAATTAACCCTGCACGACCCCACTCCTCGAAATTTAGACTTGATTCCTAGGTCGCGTTCATACTCGATGACTCCAGCACTTCGGTCGCGCGAGACCAGCCACTCTCCACCGGTAGTTATATTACAGCTGCCGAAGCCGAAATGATTTATTCTATCATCAAGCAGTTGCAGCGGTCCCACGATTAACAATGGGGAGCGGATAGGTATGAGATGATATACGGAAAGGGATCCCGCTATAGGAAAAAATTCGAAGCGGGGGGGGGGTGTTCAGGAAGGATGTTGCCCAACGGCACCACGTGCGCTAGTTGTAACTCCCTGCCGAGGTAAATGAGATAGTGCGCTCACTCATGAAGTGGTGATTCACTAGATACCGTAGCGACTTACTAATTCGCTTCTGGGGTGCTAAGGAGAGCTGAATTTGCGTCACATATCATCCATAACGAGGCGGAGGTGCTGTAGTGAGTGTCGTGCTTACCACTCGCGCGGTCCTGGGTTCAAATCCCGGTCGACCCCGCCCAGGCCAACCAAGCCTTCTACCCTTCGGGACAATAAATTGGTACCAGATTCGTCTGGGAGGATAAGAACACTGACTTGTACATCGCTGGCCCCGCAAGTCATTGTATAGGCCACATCGCATTCAATAAGCCACTACGATTCTGAATGGAAGTAGAATGCGTGCCGCATCCCACAAAGGGATTGATCAACGGCGAAGACTATCCTTTTTTATCATACATAATGGGCCTCCAATCAATATTCAATTCAAAAGTTTCGCGCAAAAACGGGGCAGTTCGGTGACGAGGGGCATGGAGAGTTGACAAGTTTTGCCATGTGACTGAACGAGTTTGCTTCCTCCAGCTTCACAAGAGTTCACAGGTTGCACAGAGTGATATTTGTAAACCAGAACTCCCTGTCGAAGAAATGAGTCCACAAAAACTACTATTTTGAGAGGTCTTGAAACGGGAATACTTCACAA